GGGGGGGGGGGGGGGGGAAGGAACATGGAGGGGCATGGAGGGGGCACGGTTTGGGCCTGGTGCATGCAGAGCAGTGCCGGCCGGTTGTTGCTGTTACGGCGGCCGCCCGCCCTTGAGCCTCGCCCGAACCCCTCCCCTCCGCTGCTGCCCGCCCTCCTTGCCCGGGCTCCCTGAACCCCGCAGGGCAAGCGCGTGGGCGACGTGGTGAACCGGATCCACGTGGCTCAGCCAAAGCCGCGGGACGCCCTGCCCCGCCCGCCCGTCATCCCGCCGGGGGTGGCGGCGGCGCGGGCGCGGCGCGACGCGGGCGACCGGCGGCGCACCGAGAAGGACCTGCAGGTGGGGTGTTTGGGTGGGGTGGTGTTGGGATGGGGGGGGCTGTGGCTGCGCTGCGGAGCTGCGGTGCTGCGGTGCCGCCGAGAGCAGCGCTTTCCTTCGCCCCTCTGCCCATCCCTCGCCGCCCGCTCCGTCGCCCCCCTCACCCACATTCCCCCCCTTCCCCTGCCCCTCCCCCTGCCCCTCCAACTCCCCCCCACGCACTGTGCCGCCCCGCAGGAGGAACAGGGCGGCGCGGGGGTGTACAACAGCGACGTGCGCAAGCTGTACGACCTCAAGGACCCGGCCTGGCGCTACGACATCATGCCGGAGATCGTCAACGGCAAGAACGTGAGCGGGGTCGGGGCGGGGCGGGGGTGGGGCGGGGCGGGTTGGTGTGGAGGGCGTGAGTGAGGCGGGTTGTGAGATGGGGTGGGAGCGCGGGCAGGGAGGGCAGGCCGGCAGGCAGGGAGGGAGGGTGGGAGCGAGGGGTAGGGGATCCTTGTCTGGGATTGCCAGCGGCGAGGGCATGGCCCTGGCCGCTGCTGTTTGCATTTGCGCGGGCGTGCGAGCGCGCGTGTGAGAGGGGCGGGATGGCGTCGATGGGGCGGGGCGCAGGCGCTTGGGTCGGGGCCCGTGCCGGGGCACAATGCCCGTGCCTGACCGCCTTCCACGTGTACCGTCCATGTGTACCGTGCTTGTGTCGTACCTCCAACATGTACCGCCACATGGTACCGCAGGTACTGGACTTTGTGGACCCCGACATCGAGGCGCGGCTGGAGGCGCTGGAGCGGGAGGAGGAGGCGTTGGCGGCGGCGGCGGCGGCGGACGTGAGGGGCTGCCGCCGCTGCCGCCCGCTGCCGCCGCTCCATGACTCATGCCTGCGCCTGGAGCGCCGCGCCTGCTTGCTTCATGTGCCTGCCTGTGTGGCGTGTGTCTGTGGCGTGCGCCTGGGCCTGCCTTGTCTCGGCAGCTCCCCAGCGCTTCTGCTTGGCCGCCGCCGTCTTTTGCCCATGCCACTCCCTCCTCACTCCCCGCCCTCCCCCTGCCTCCCCTGCCTCACGGCCAGGCCGCCATGGGCGAGGGGGAGGAGGAGGAGCTGACTGCGGAGGAGGCGGCGGCGCTGGAGGCGATCCGACAGAAGAAGAAGAAGATGGTGGCGGGTGAGGGGCGCTGCCGGCTCCCGCTCCCGCTGCCTGCCTGTCGGCCTGTATTTTGTCTGCATATATGCTTGCCTGTGAGGGGCGGCGCCCGGCCCCTGCTGCCTGTGAGGGGCGGTGCCTCTGCTTGCCTGTGTCATGCGTTTAGCTGCCGGTGTGGGCTCGGCTGGTGGGTGGGGTCCAGGCGGGCTGCCGGGGTGGCGGCTACGCGGCGCAGGCAGCGGGCGGCCGGGGGCGAGCCGCCGGCGTCCGTGCCCCCGTTTTGGCGCACAGCGTGCCGGGACGCCCGCCCGCTCCCGTTGGATGCACCCCTGCTCGCCGCCGACATACCCCCTTTGCCCCCGTCCCTGCCCCCGCCTGCAGAGCACCGGCGCCGCAAGTCTGCGGGGAACAACTCGGCGCCGCTGCCGCGCGCCGTGGACCCCGAGCGCTCCCGCACCAAGGAGCGCATGGCTCGGGAGCTCGGGGTGATGGGTCTGGACGCAGGTGGGTGGGCTGCGCCGGGCTGGGCTGGGCTGGGCTGGGCTGCGCCGGGCTGGGCTGGGCTGGGCCGGGCTGGGATTCTCGAATCCAAAAGGGTCTGGGAGAAAATCCCAAAGGTTGTTTTGGGGGATGTGCGGCGCTCCTGCGACTCGCCCTGCCCAGGCGCGCAGCCTGTGCGCTGGGAGGCCGGCTGGCCGGCTGGCCGCTGGCCGGCCGGCGGCGGGGCCGGCCAGCCCCGCTCCCTTGCTGCGGCCGGCGCTCAAACCTGCAAGCGCATGTGTTCACGCATCCCAGCCCCACCCCCGCCCCCTCTCCGCCTGCAGGCGCGGCGGCGGAGCGCGCGACGCGCTCCCAGAGCCGGCGCGGGCGCTCGCTGGTGCGCAAGCGCGGGCGCAGCGCGGCGGCAGACGCCGAGATGGCGGATGCAGAGGCGCCCAAGAAGCGCATCCACAGCAGCAAGTCGCGGTGAGCTGCAGCAAGTGGGGGCTGGGCCTGGAGCGGGGGCTGTGGCCCTGCTGGACCTGGAGCTGCGCGACGGCTCGGGCTTGGCTTGCCGCAGCCGCCGCGCCTGCTGCTGCCGCCGCTCCGCAGCCATCGCTGGCGCCTGACTGCCTGGCTCCCTCGCCCGCCGCTCCGCCGCCTGCGGGGCCTGCCCCCGTGCCCTCACTGGTCACATTGCCGTGCCATGCCCCGGTCTCAAGTCATCTGACCACCGCCCTCCCTGCATCCCTCCACCCATGTTCCCCCTGTCAGGTCTATGTCCCGAGGCCGCGCCCTGTCGCTGGCGGCCCCCGACTCTTCCAAGGGCCTGCGGGACGCCAGCCAGCGCAACAAGGCAATCAAGATGGCGGGTGGGTGCCTGCCTGCCTGCCTGCCCGCCCGCCTGCCTGCCTGCCTGCCTGCCTGCCCGCATGCCTGCCCGCATGCCTGCCGCGCTGCGTGCGCATGCGCAGTGCTGAGGGCCGGGGTGGTTGAGGGAAGCGGCTGCTGTTGGTAGGACCTGTGTGTGCCTGCCTGCCCCGCCAGCCCGCCCAACTGGCAGAGCAGCCAGGCTCGGCTTCTGGCCTGCTCCTCCCAGCCAGCAAGCCACCTCCGCTTACCCGCCGCCCTTCCCGCCACCCCCCACCCTGCTCGCCCACCCTCCCCGCAGACAAGGCCCAGTGGAAGATGGGGAAGCTGGCAAAGAAGGGGGAGGGGGACAGGCACATCCCAGACCTCAAGCCCAAGCACCTGTTCAGCGGCAAGCGCCCCAAGGGAACCACCGACCGGCGGTAGCATGCACCCACCCCCAGCGCCTGCCCTCCCCTGCGAGCTGGTTGGTCGTGCCCGGCGGCGGAGCGGGCTGGCGAGGCGTGCCGCGTGGCTGCCCCCCAGCACGTGCCGCTCTGCCGTGCTTCTGCTGTACATTACTCCCTTGTAAGATAAAGGAGGTGAACCTCTTCCGAGCAGTGATGCGGGGACGGTTACAGGAGGGGGCCCTGTGTCCCATGTGTGGGAAGTACAGTGGGTGGCGGCTTGCCGAGGTGTCGAGGTGGTTCAGCGCTGAAGAATGGCTATAGTGCTGGAAGTGCTTTTGTGTGTGTGCATACATTTGGGGGCAGGCAGAGGTCTGCGACGCGCAGAGTGTGTGTGTGGAATGGGGCGCGGCGGCTGGGTGCCGGCCGCGCCCGATGGGTATGCGTTCAAAGGGGCAAAAAATCAAAACAAGGGATGGCGCTTGGTCTCTACCAAACCAAAAAAAAAGAGAACAAAAGAAGACTGGCAAAACAGCCGGCCAGCGGCTACGGACAAGCCCGTGGCACCGGGCCAGCCCCAGGAGCGGCCAGCAGCGGCAGCCGAGCAGGGCCATGAACGAGTGGCGGCGCCGGCCTCACTCGCAGCCCAGCCTGTAGAAGTCCACCGCCACCGCGGGCAGCGCCGCCGCCAGCGCCTCCTCGTGGTGCATCCCATAGTCGTCCGTCACATCCAGCACCTTGAGGCCGGG